CTAAAATCTACCTTTTTTTTTTTTTTTTTAAGATTTGCTTATTTGAAAGACAAAGAGATGCAGAAAGACCTCCCATTTACTGGTTCACTCCCCAAATGGCCACAACACCAAGTTTGTATCAGGTTAGATCCAGAAATAAGAACTTTATCCTGATTTCCCGCACAAGTGGTAAAGGACCAGGCACTTGGTGCATCTTTGCTACTTTCCCAGGTATATTAGCAGGGATGCTGATTTAAAATTGCGGCAGCCAGGACCTGAACTGATAGTTTCATTTGGGATGCTAGCATTGCAAGCGGCAGCCTAACTTGCTGTGCCAAAATGATGGCCCCTAAACTCTACTTCTTGATGTGAAAAGCTGTCATGTCATGTTTCAAAGGTACTGGAGTCAGGCAGTGAGACTACTGTGTCCATTTCTTATAAATACCCCATCACATTATCCTGAATGAGCTCCCTTAGTTTCTTGTATTAATGGGTTGGATTCTTTCATCTCTCACAGGAAGTTTTCAGCAGTTTATCTTTATTTTAATTTTTATTTATTTATTTATTTATTTGAAAGGCAGAATGACAACTCTTCCATCCACTGGCTTACTCCTCATATGACCATAACAAGCCAGGTCTGGTCCAGGCCAAAACCAGGAGTTAGAAACTCCATTGTGGTTTCTTACTTGGATGACAGAGGCCCAAGTACTTGTGCCACCATCTACTGCCTTCTCACATGCGTTGTTAGAAACCTGGATTGGAAGTGGAACAGACAGGACTCCAGTTTGGAATGCTAGCTTAACCTGCTGTGCCACAATGCCAACACCTCTGTTGATGTTTGGTCTTAGTATTTTATATTTCTATAATTGTAGTAGTTCTTTTTTTGTCTTTTTTAGAGATTTGTTTTTTTTTTTTAAGATTTATTTTTATTATTTTTTTATTGGAAAGGCGGATATACAGAGAGGAGAGACAGAGAGGAAGATCTTCCATCCAGTGATTCACTCCCCAAGTGAGCACAACGGCCGATACTATGCCGATCCGAAGCCAGGAGCCTCTTCCGGGTCTCCCACGCGGGTGCAGGGTCCCAAAGCTTTGGGCCATCCTCAACTGCTTTCCCAGGCCACAGGCAGGGAGCTGGAAGGGAAGCGGGGCTGCCGGGATAGAACCGGCGCCCATATGGGATCCCGGGCATGCAAGGCGAGGACCTTAAACACTGCGCCACTGCGCAGGGCCCAAGATTTGTTTTTTTTTTGAAAGGCAGATTTGGCACATTTATAGAGGTAAGGAAAGACAGAGAGATCTTCTATCCATTGGTTCACTCCCCAAATAGGTGCATTGGCCAGAAGTGAGCTGATCAAAGCTGTCAGTCAGGAGCTTCTTCTAAATATCCCATACGGATGCAGGGGCACAAGGATTTGAGCCTTCCTTTGCTGCTTTTCAAGTTCATAAGCAGGGAGCTAGATGGGAAGTGGAGCAGCTGGGACTAGAACTGGTACACATATGGGAAGGCAACATGTCAGCTTGGTTCTGTTTTTCAAATTGGATTTTTTTTATGGTTTCTAGTTTTTGCCAAATCTTAAAGTGTGTCTATCTCTGTGAACATACAAATCATAATTGTACCATAATCTTGTAACTCCAGTATCTGAGGTCTCAGATCAATGCTGTCATCTGTTGCTTTTGGTGATGCTAGCTCATATTGTCATGTGCCTTACTAGTTTGTGAGGTAAATAATTTGAACTATGTATTTAAAACCCAGTGGAGATCTAGGATGTTGTTCTCTCAGAGAGGGTTTTCATTTCCTTCTACCAGTACCACAAGTGGTCTGGGACCAGGCTCCCAGAGGGTTTGGTTTGGCCAGGTGATCCGTAGAACAGAATCTATAACCTTACCTCCAGCGTGTTCCCTCCTTTGGCAGGCGAGAAACTCGACTCTCCTTAGACCAGCTGTGTTGGTGAGAAGCTGCAACTTGCCTGTCAGTGTTTCTGGCAGATTGGAAGAGATGCTCCAATGCTCAGCCAGAGCTCACTGCTCTTCCTTCCCTGAGTCCCCGTGCCTCACCTGCCTGTGTAGTTGGAAGCCGTGATTCACTCTGCTATGCCCTTCACCGTTTCACTTTCTTGTTGGGGTTTTGTACTGTTTATAAAAAAAAACTTATTTATTTGTGTTTGATGTGTAAGGCAGGTTTGGAACCACCCACATTTCATATTCAAGTCCCAACACCTTTTAAAAAATTTATTCTTATTAGAAAGGCAGATTTTTACAGAGAGAAAGAGAGACAGAGGAAGATATCCTGTCCGCTATTTCACTCCCCAGTGGCCGCAATGGCCAGAACTGAGCTAATCTGAAGCCAGGAGCCAGAAGCTTCTTCCGGGTCTCCCACCCAGTTGCCGCGTCCCAAGGCTTTGGGCCTTCCTCTACTGTTTTCCCAAGCCACAAGCAGGGAGCTGGATGGGAAATGGAGCAGCTGGAATGTGGACCTGTGCCCATATGGGATCCTGGCACTTGCAAGGAGAAGATTTAGCTGCTGAGCCATTGCGCCAGGCCCTTTATTTTTGTTTGAAAGGCAGAGTTAGAACGAGAGGGAGAGGCAGAAAGAGAAATCTGTCATTTGCTGGTTACTCCCTAAGTGACTGCAATGGCCAGAGCTAGGCTGTGCTAAAGTCAGGATTCTGGAACTCCGTTCATGTCTTCAAAGTCGATGGCAGGGCCCACGCACTTGGGCCACCTTCTACTGCTTTTTGACACATTGGAAATGGAGCAGCTGAGACTTGAACCATGCTCAAGGGGTTACCAGCTTTACATCTGGTGGCTTAACCTATTGTGTGTGCCACAATACTGTGCTACAATTTTATGCTATTGGGTTTTTGTTGCGTTGATTTCAGCTTTTTATGTTAGTTATTTTAAAAATTCTTTTTTTTTTTTTCATAGTTATTTATTTTTATTGAAAGCTAGATTTTACAGAGAGGAAAGACAGAGGAGACGTCTTCCAGCTGTTGGTTTACTCCCCAAATGGCCACAATGACCAGGGCTGAGCTGGTATTTGAAGCCAGAAACTAGAAGCTTATTCTGGGTCTCCCATGTGGGTGCAGGGTCCCAAGGCCTTGGCCATCACTGCTGCTTTTCCAGGCCATAAGTAGGGAGCTGGATTGAAGTGGAGTGGTTGGGACACAGACTGGTGTCAATATGGGATGCAGGCGCTAGCATGTGAAAGATTAGTGTGCTGTGCCACTGTGGGGGCCTTAAAATTTTTTTCTTTTTTTTTTTATGGGGGTGGGGAAGGGAGAGTTCATCTAGTCACCTATGCTGTAAGTGGAAGATCCTTTAATGTGTGGTTGTATCCCTCATTTTAACTCTAATTAAGGAATGTGGTGTATTTTTTGTGTATCACATGAAATTTTGCTATTTTATTTACCAAGAAACCAGGAATTGAACCTTTGCTCATAGACATACTAGATGCTCAATAATTTATTGATGCTAAATGAATACAAATGTAAGGTGATTTATAATGAAATTTATCCCCTACCCTATGCTTTTTAGTTTGTTGTTTTGAGTCTTTTTTTTTTTTAATATTATTTTTATTTGAGAGTTACCGAAAGGGAGAAATGGAGACAGAAATCTTGCATCTACTAGTTTACTCTCCAAATGGTTGCTGTAGCCAAAGCTGTTCTAATCTGAAGCTGGGAGCCAGGAGCTTCTTCTAGGTCTCCCACATGAGAGCAGGGACCCAAGACCTTGTGCCATGTTTTGCTTTCCCGGGAACATTAGCAGAGAGTTGGGTCAGCAGTGGAGTAGCCGAGACTTGAAATGGCATGCATATGGGATGCTGGCACTTAAGGCGGAGGTTTAAGATACCACTGTACAGCGTCAGCCCAGCTATTTTAAATCTCATGTGGTCATGGGTATTAGGTCGGATACTGCTTAGAACTGAATGTAAATAAAGAATAAGTAGGCTGATAGCGTAAGGGGTGCCCTATTCATGCAAATGCTTTGCTGGAGTTTATTTTGTATGCATGTACACATTCAATATCTAATATTTGATTTTGTTCATTCTCTAGTGTTTGGTTTATTGCCTAGTCAACATTGTGCTATTGTTGGTAACTCTATATTCATTAGGTTCACAAGAGGAAAAGGCATGGGTCATGTTAGGTAGTGGTTTTCTGTGTTTGTATAATAAAAAGTTGAAGGATTATAGTTTTATAAGACAGTGGAAAGGAAATTTACATTTTACTTTAAGTGCAACACTGAAAGTTTAAAGAAAAAAATGATACCTTATGTTTTACAACTTAGAGTTTGATCCATTCCTTTTTATGATGGATTTGAATACTTAAAATTTGGTAAACATAACTGAAATATAGATGAAATAACATCTTAAAATTATAAATTTAGTGGTTCTTATGATGGACTGGGAATTAATATATGTATGTATAATGTGTGTATTACATATATATAATGGATCAGGATAAATAGACTTGAATAAATACAATCAAAGTTAGGGTTGAAAATGAGTAAGTGAACCTCAGTGTTTGCATTGGAAAATATAGTGCCCTCTGAACATTCTTTTTCAAGAATTTTATTTGTTTTTCTTTTCTTTTTTTTTTTTTCTTTATTTTTGACAATCTTTACATAGTTAGGGCAAAAAGGTTCAAGGGCTACAGGAAAGTGGGTCAGACTATTATTTCCACATTGTTTTTTTCCTGTATCTGGGTGTTTTCATTTTCTTTGTAAGGGGGAGAGAGAGATGTTAGATTCTCTGTTCCACTCTCCAAGTGTTTGCAACAGCTCAGGGCTAGGCCAGCCGAAGCCAAGCATACTCAGTTGAGGTTTCCTGTATTGGTGGGGGGAACCCAAGCACTTGGACTATTACCTGATGCTTCCTAAGGTGCACATTAGCAGGAAACTGGAATCAAATGGAACCAACTCAAACTCAGCTACTCCGGTATGGGATGTGCGTAACCCAGGTGAAGTCTCAGTCACCGTACCAGATAACTACACTGAACATTTTTTATTTGGTATTGTTTTAGGTATCGTCAGATCCTGGAAAAAGCAATTCAGTTATCTGGGGCAGAACAGCTAGAAGCCTTGAAAGCGTTTGTGGAAGCAAGTAAGTAGGATGGAAATTCCTTATTTTTTGCTACATGCCAGCTACTGTCTAAAGTGCTTTATGTAATTTTACTGCATTTAAGGTTTAAATAGCCTTGTGAAATAAGTGGTATTTTAATTTTACAGTTGAGGAAACTGAAGAACAGAGAAAATTATGTCTTTTTTTTTTTTTAAAGATTCCTTTATATATTTTGATGGACTTGGAGAGACAGAGAAAGAGCTTTCATCTGCTAGTTCACTCCCCACATGGCTGCTATGGCCAGCACTGGAGCCAGGTGCTTCATCCTGCTCTCACAGGGCTAGCTTGGGCCCAAACACTTGGGCATCTTCTCTTGTTTTTTCCTAGGTGCACTAGGTGTTGCATCAGAAGTGGGACAACAAGGACACAAACTGGCACCCATGTTTGGGTGCTGGTGTTGCAGGTAGTGGGTTTATATGCTTGCCACAACACCAGGCCTCCTTCCCCTGTTTAAAAAGATTTATTTATTTGAAGTACTATTGCATACAAGAGAGGGGGAAATATCTTCCTTCTGCTTGCTGGCTCACTCCCTAAAAGACCAAAACACCAACACTGGCGCTGCCCAAATTTAATAGCCAGGAGCTTCCTCTGAGTCTCTCACATGAGTGGCCCAAGTACTTTGGTCATCTTCCAGGGATCTTAGCAGGGAGCTAGATCAGAAGCAGAGATGCTGGGACACAAATTAGCACGCACATGGGATGCTGTCATGGCTTAATCCTCCCACCACATTGCTGGTCCCAAGTTTCTTAAGCTGTAATTGGAAGTGGACTGCATGACATTGGTGGTTTCTTTGTTAACCAAATACAGTTAATACCTCATAGGTGTCTATAATAATATAATAACATATCTAGTATTGATTCAAGTTCATGTTTTTCAAATGTGCTTATTTATTTATGTTCATTTATTTGAAAGGTAGAGATAGACTGGTTGACTGCTTAATTATCTAGAACAGCAAGGGCTGGCCTAGACAGAGATCAGGAGCCTGAGATTCAGTTCAGCTCTCCCACGTGGCTGATGGAGACACAAGTCCTCGAGCTGTCATCTTCTACCTCCCTCCCAGGGTGTGAATTAGAAATGTAGTTGCTGGGAATCAAACCAGTTGCTTGACATGAGACACAGGTTTCCCAACCAGCAACTTAACTGCGGTGCTGCACGTCTGCCCTTTGTTTATCATTAGGAAAGTGCAGATGGCACCAAGTGTGCCGGCACTGCTTGCTTTATTTAAATTTCATGAAAATTATATCACTATTTTCTTCTTTTACTTTTCTGGAGCTCGGTTGGATGTAAGTATATAAATAAGAATCCAGTGTTTCCATGCCTTCAAGTTGTGGAAAAATAAAAGAAAGGAACAGTATAAAAATGTCAGCTAGTGAACACAAACTTTTCCCTGACATTTCTTTTGCTTAGAGAAGTCATGGCATTTTTGCTGTTTTGGTGCAGTCAAAATGTAATCAAGTAGCTCAACATAAGGAAAATTGTGTGACAGTGTAAAATGATTGGGGTATGGAATTCCTGGGATGTTGCGTTGAAGATTATGCTAATCCAGGTTGTTTCTAGTGTTAGTTTTTAGGTGAGGATTGATTGCTTCATGCAGTTTATGACTTGCTTATGTTTTCTGTCTCTTTCTATGAAACAAGTGGTAAATGAGAACGTGAGCCTTGTGATTTCACGACAGTTGCTGACAGATTTCTGCACACATCTGCCTAGCCTGCCTGATGGCACAGCCAAAGAAATCTATCACTTTACCTTGGAAAAGATCCAGCCCAGAGTCATTTCATTTGAGGAGCAGGTAACAATCTATAACTGTGTAGATTTTTTGTTGTTATTTCCATGATACCATTTTGTAGGTTATGGATTCTCCCTTGCTCTTCCTTCCTCCCACCATTTCCCTCTGTTCTATTGCAATAGATAGCCCTTTAGTAATAGTTATTTAGTTTAACATTCTGCTGTTTAAGAGTGTCATGGTATTGCAGGTGTAAGCTGTAGTAGAAAATCTAGTGTCAAGGCATATTTAACAGTTTCATTGGGAGTCCTCCTGTTATTTGGGGGTGGGGTGGAGATGCATGCTACAACATATCTTCAATTCCTAGTGTGCTTGTCTCCATTATACAGTTCATCCATGAGAATATGTGTATATACTTGTTTACCAGTATGTCTATTTCTTTTGTATTTTGCATGGAGGTTGGTTTAATATCAGAAAATGTACTTGGGATAACAGCAGTTGCTTGGAGAATCTGATAATTTTAAATTCTTAATGGAGATAATAGTTCAGTTTCATTTTTTATGAATATGGCAACTAGAATTTTAAAAAAATATTGATTTTATTTATTTATTTATTTATTTTATTATTTTTTAATTGGAAAGGCGGATATACAGAGAGGAGAGACAGAGAGGAAGATCTTCCGTCCGATGATTCACTCCCCAAGTGAGCGCAATGGCTGGAGTTGTGTCGATCTGAAGCCAGGAGCCTCTTCCAGGTCTCCCACGCGGGTGCAGGGTCCCAAAGCTTTGGGCCGTCCTCGACTGCTTTTCCCGGGCCACAAGCAGGGAGCTGGAAGGGAAGTGGGGCTGCCGGAATAGAACCGGCACCCATATGGGATCCCGGGCGTGCAAGGCGAGGACCTTAACCACTGTGCCACTGCGCCGGGCCCTATTTTGTTTTTTTGAGCAGTAGAATTACATAGAGATGAGGGCGAAACAGAAAGAGATTTTCCATTTGCTGACTTATTCCCCAAGTGGCAGTAATGGCAGTGCTTAGGCCTGGGAGAGGCCAGGAGCCAGGAGCTTCATCTGGGTCTTCCATGTATGTGCAGGGGTCCTAGCACTTAGGCCATCTTCCACTTGTTTCCCGAACACATTAGTAAGCAGCCAAATTGGCAGTGGGACACAAACCAGAGGCCATACGAGATGCCGTGTCATAGGTGGCAGCTTAGCCTAACACAGTGTGTTAATCGTCATTTGACAGTGTAAAATCTGTTAAACAGGAGGATGTTAGTAGCTCCATCTGACATTTGCTCATATATTAAAATTTTATTTTACGAATCAAATATTCTAAAAAGTTGTATAAAGTGAGTATAGTGGCAACATAGTGGTACAGCAGGCTATCTCTGCCCTGTGGCATTGGCATCTGATATGGGTGCTGGTTTGTGTCTTGGCTGCCCTTTGCTCATGGTCTGGGAAGGCTGCGTAGGATGACGATGGCCCAAGTCACTGGGCTCCTGCGCCAACGTGGGAGACTAAGTAAAGACTCCTGGCTCCCAGCTTTGTATCAGTTCAGTTTCAGCCAATGTGGCCCTTTGGGGTATGAGCCAGGACTTCTCTCTGTCTCTCCTTTGCTCTGTAAAATCTGCCTTTCAAATAGGTAAATCTTAAAAAAAAAATCAACATAAAAATTGTTAGACTAGAAACTAGGAAACTACAGCATCATGTTTGTAGAAACATAAAACCAGAATTTTTAAACATTTTGAAACATTTAAACTTAAATATTGCCATAACTCACATTGCAGAAATATGTTATTTGTTTACTACTTTGATGCCATATGAATGCAAAATTCATAGGAAAGTTTGGTTCCTGATAAACTTTTATTTGGTAGTCTGTTAGAAGAGAACATTGTCACAATGGACTAATTTGTTCTCTATTTTAATTAGGGAGTTCTTGTTGAGATACTTTAACACGTGTGCCTCCTATTGCAGGTTGCTTCCATAAGGCAGCATCTTGCGTCTATATATGAGAAAGAAGAAGATTGGAGAAACGCAGCCCAAGTGTTGGTGGGAATTCCTTTGGAAACAGGACAAAAGTATACTAAATAGTGAATATTGGATGAATATATAAAAATAGGATTTATATGCATATACACACATATATATTATATTATATTATATTATATTATATTATATTATATTATATTATATTATATTATATTATATCTTACCCCTATTTTTCTTACATGGTAATGCAAGAAACAGATAAAGACATTAATGAATAAATTTTGTAATATGATAGAAGGTGATAAGTGTGACAGTAAAGTAAGGGGAAAAAAAGAGGAGAGTGGTGTATATCATTAAACTGATGTCACTTCCCCAAAGACTTGACAGCAGGGGGTAGGTTGGGGGGGAAAGGGAGTGGCTGAGAGCTGTTTGAGGGAAGTGTCTCACCAGGTTCTTAGAGGGGTGGTTAGTACAAAGGCCTTGAGATGGGGACATGCTTGGAATGTGGTTTTTTTTTTTTTTTTTTTTTTTGTAAAATTTATTTATTTTTATTGGAAAGTCAGAGTTACAGAGAGAAGGAGAGGGAGAAAGATCTTCCATTTACTGGTTCACACTCCAAGTAGCCGCAGTGGCTGGAGCTGAGCCAATCTGAAGCCAGGAGCCAGGAGCTTCTTTGGGGTCTCCTAAGTGGATTCAGGGTCCCAAGGCTTTGAGCCATCCTTGACTGCTTTCTCAGGCCACAAGCTGGATGGGAAGCAGGGTCGCTGGGATTGGAACTGGTGCTCATATGGGATCCCGGGCACGTTCAAGGCAAGGACTTTACTGGCTGGGCTACTACGCCAGGCCTACCCACTACTTTTTTTTTTAAGTTTTATTTATATATGTAAAAGGTAGAGCTATGGGGAAAAAGAGAGGGAGGCAGGGAGGGAGAGGGAAATTTAAAAAAAAAGGGAGAGAGAGTTCTTCCATCTGCTGGTTCATTCTTAAATTGGCTGCAATGGCCAGGACTGGTCAAGACTGAAGCCAGGATCTAGAAGCTTCATCTGGATCTGCCACATGGCCAAAGTTGCCCAAGCACTAGGGCCATTTTCCTCTGCTTTTCCCAGGTCATTAACAGGGAGCTGGATCAGAAGTGGGAAAGCTGGGACTCAAACACATGTCCGTTTGTGATGCAGTGCCACTACACCACACTGGTTCCTAGATGGGTTAATTCTTGTCATATCTCCTGCTCACTGTCAAATGTTAAGTAGCATCCAGGTCCTCTGCTCCCTAAATACCAGTAATACATCCATGCCTTCTGTGACAGTCAAAATTGTATGTAGGGGCCTGGCACGGTGGCTCAATTGGTTAAGCCTCCCCCTTTAAGTGCTGGGATCCCATATGGGTGCCAGTTTATGTCCCAGCTGTTCCACTTCCTTTTTAGCTCCCTGGTTGAGGCCTGGAAAAGCGGTAGAGGATACCCAAAGCCTTAGGACCTTGCACCCATGTGTGAAACTAGAAGAAGCTTCTGACTTCAGATCGGCTCAACTCCAGCCGCGGCAGCCATTTGGGGAGTGAACCAACCAGTGGCTGGAACATCTTTCTCTGTCTCTCCTTCTCTCTGTAAATCTGCCTTTCCAATAAAAATAATTGCTTTAAAATGAGATCAATCAAGTTTGGTGGGTGTTTTCCTCCATCAGAATTCAGCTACATGAATTGCAGAAAAGAATTAGACAAATAGTTAGGGTTAGTAAGAGTTGTGCTTTTGAGTGACAGCAAGAAAGACAAGCATGAATGAATGACTTAAAAATAGTTTTATGTGCATTATAACTCTCACCAGGTGAATGAGGGATTCTTGTCCATATTTGTTAGTAATTGTGACGAGGCAGATATTTCTTCAGTCATCTTGCCATTTGTGCATTATTTTTTAAATTATTATATAGTGAAAGTCCTTCAAAAAGCAACCAATTTATAAAAAAAGCCTTTATCTGTAGGTGTTGAATTTTGTATTCCTAGGCAATTGACAATTCTTTTTATATTTTTATGGTGGTAATTTGAAAAGGCTCTTTTTAAAAAAGATATATTTATTGTTTTTTATGTCATATTTATAGATATAAAACATGTTTACATTTAAGACATATTTATGTACCCTGTTTTTAGGGTAACAGACAGAGATGGAGAAGGATATGGTGGGAGAGATCTTCAGTCTGCTGATATGCTCTCCGTGGCCACAGTGGCCAGGCTGAAGAGTAGAAATGGCTAAATCGGGATGTGGTTAATGATCAAATGAGAAAAAGTCTAAGAAACTTATTTTGTTAGTTTTTCTATAATATAATGCTGGGCACATTTGATTTCCTTGTGTTAAGAGAATGTACGTGAGCAAAATATATAATTTTCGTCATTTTTACTGATTCTGTATTGTTTGTTATACTCTAGACAGTACAATGTGGATTATAAACTGGAGACCTACCTGAAGATTGCACGACTGTACCTGGAGGACGATGACCCCGTGCAGGCCGAGGCCTACATAAATCGAGCATCGCTGCTGCAGAATGAGTCAACCAATGAACAGCTACAGATACATTATAAGGTACCGGCGTGGCTGCCTTGGAACTCATTGTTTATTGGAGAATCATACAATTCTTTAGATAACCCGAAACATCTGCTAAATGCTGTCATACAAGTGATTTGGAATTTGCGTATTTTATTTTTCTTTTCTATTTTCTCCTTAATTAAAACATGTTCTCCCTTTAGGTATGCTATGCACGAGTTCTTGATTATAGAAGAAAGTTCATAGAAGCTGCACAAAGGTACAATGAGCTCTCTTACAAGACAATAGTCCATGAAAGTGAAAGACTAGAGGCCTTAAAGCATGCTCTGCACTGTACCATCCTTGCTTCAGCAGGTAAGCCTGTCGTTTAGGCTTAAACCAACAGTGATCTTTGGTTTAATAACTTCATGTTGGCTAATATTAGAAAATCTAGCAAGAAACTGTCTTTCAAGGGGTGTTGATATAAAATAGTGTTGACTGCTCTGGTTCCTTGGAAAGATCGTAGGGGCCTCTTTGAAGAATTGTTGTATTAGAGTTTAATTTTTCAACCACCTGTTTCCTTCTAGTTATTGTCTCTAACCTGCGCCTCCCACAAGAAACGGGGTGAGAAGTTTTGTCTATTGCTTGCTTAAATTTACTTATAAATCTTTACTTTTTAAGAAGATATTTATTGGGGCTGACACCATAGACTAGTGGCTAAAGGCCCCACCTTGCATGTGCCGACATCCTGTATGAACTTTGGTTCTCATCCCAGAGGCCCCCACTTCCCATCCAGATCCCTGCTTGCTGCCTGGGAAAGCAGTTGAGGATGACCCAAAGCCTTGGAACACTGCACCCGCGTGGGAGACCCAGAAGAGGCTCCTAGATCCTGACTTAGGATCAGCTCAGCTCTGGCAGCTGTAGCCGCTTGGGAAGTGAACCAGCAGATGGAAATCTGTCTTTCTCTTCTTTTTATATATCTGCTTTTCCAATAAAAAATAAATCTTTGAAAAAAAAAAAGCTTCCAGGCTGGAGCCGGGAGTTTCTTTTAGCTTTCCCATGTGGATGGCAGGAGTCCACACATTTGGACCATCTTCTGCTGCTTTCCCAGGCACTAGAGCAGAGAACTGAATTGGTAGTGCAGCAGCTGGACCCTGAACTGGCACATATATGGGGAAACAGCATCAGGGTGGTGCTGAGCCTGCTGTAGTACAAATGCCAGTCCCCAGCAGTATGCTTGTAGTTGTCTGCTGAACAAGGAGAACCAGTTTTGCATGGCATTTAGAATATCTATTTAGAAAGAGTCTAGCATAGATTTCTGGCTTTTAAAATAATACTGCCACTTTTTAGATAGTTCAAGAAATTGTGTTAAAGACCCTTTATTCCAAATTTATTTGATATATATTGTTTGCTTATCTCTTAATCATGCATTTCTGGTGAATTGGAAATTACCCAAAGGTTAGATTAGATTCAGGATATGATTTTTCTTTCTTTCCTTCCTTCCTTTTTTTTTTTTAAGATTTATTTATTTTTATTAGAAAGGCACATTATACCAATAGAAGAAGATACAGAAAGATGTTACATCTACTGATTCACTCTTTAAATGACTGCAGTGGCCAGAGCTGAACCAATCTGAAGTCAGGAGCCAGGAGCTTCTTCCAGGTCTCCCACATGGGCACAGAGTCTCAAGGCATTGAGCTGTCCTTTACTGCTTTTCCAGGCCACAAGCAGGGAGCTGAATGGGAGGTGGAGCACCTGGGACATGAACCAGCACCCATATGTGTGAGATGCTGGCACTTGCAGGGTGGAGGATCAGCTAGTTGAGTCAATGTGATTTTTTTTTTAAGATCTAAATGTTTATTTGTGTGGTGGAGTTATGTGGTAAGATTGGGAAAGATAGATCTTTCGTCTGTTGGCTTACTTAGGAAGTGAATGGCTGCTAGGGTCAGTGCCAGGAGCCAGGAGTTTCATCTGGGCCTTCATGTGAGTGCAGGGATCCAAATGTTTAAGCCATTTTCCAGACTATTAACAGCAAACAGGTAGGATCATAATTGGAACAGATGGGACGTAAGATAGTGTCCGTTTAGGATGTTGGTGGCACACTCACCATGCCACAACACTGACCCCAGAAAATAAAAATTTTCCGAATATTTTCTGAATATTTCATAATGAAGCCATGTACTTGGAGCGCATCACAGCAGAGATGTGAGCACAGTAGTGATGCAGTCTGATCATTGGTTGTGATAGACTCCATGGAAAGGGGACATTTTCTTTTGGCATTTAGTAGTAATTTATGGGGTGCTGCTTGATACTCTGTAGGAATCTTGCTTTCCACCTCTTTTGTGTTACTTGTCTGAATCATTCATTGCCTTGTAAGTTGCAGAATGGTGATTAGTAATTTTGACCTAGTGCATGAGCTGCTCTTTTCTCTCCTTTTTTTCTTGGTATCACTATGTACTCTTTTCTTTTCTTTTTTTTTAAGATTTATTTATTTTTATTGGAAAGTCAGATATACAGAGAGGAGGAGAGACAGAGAGGAACATCTTCCATCGGATGATTCATTCCCCAATTGAGCACAACGGCTGATGCTATTCCGAGCTGAAGCCAGGATGCAGGAACCTCTTCCGGGTCTCCCACACGGGTGCAGGGTCCCAAGGCTTTGGGCCGTCCTCGACTGGTTTCCCAGGCCGTAAGCAGGGAGCTGGATGGGAAGTGGAGCTGCTAGGATTAGAACCAGCGCCCATATGAGATTCCGGAGTGTTCAAGGCGAGGACTTTAGCCGCTAGGCCACGCCGCTGGGCCCTATGTACTCTTTTCTATGATTTTTCTGCACACATACCAAAACTTGATGAAGACCTCTGTAGAACAAGCATCCAGAACAAGAAGCAATGTATTACTGCCACCCGAAGCCCTCCTTGTTTTGTTATTTTTTTTGAAAGATTTTAAAATTTTTATTTGAAGGGCAGATTTTTATTGAGAGAAGAGGAGACAGAGAAATAAAGAGCTCTTTTGTCTGCTGTTTCACTCTGCAAATGTTTGTAATGGCAGGAGCTCTCCCAATTCAAAGCCAGGATGCTAGAGTTTCCTCTGGGTCTTCCATGTGGGTGCCGGGATCCAAAAATTTGGGCCATCTTTCACTGCTTTCCAGGCACAGCAGCAGGGAGTTGGATTGCAAGTGGAGCAGCCGAGACTTGAACTGGTGCTCACATGGGACTTCAGTTGGAGGTTCAATGTGTTATGCAGTGGCAATGGCCCCATTCATGTTTTTTCTTGGATATTAGTCTCCGCTCCTCAACCTTCTCAAGGATAATTACTGATAGATTGGTTTGACCTGCTTCTTATTTTCATATAAATGAAACCAGATAGTGTATTTCTCTTTAAAGATTTGTTCATTTGAAAGTCAGTGTTGCAGAGAGGGAGAATTGGAGAGAGATCTTCCATCCACTAGTTCATTCCTCAGGTGGCCACAGCGGCCATGGCTGGAACCAGAGGTTTATGCTGGGCCTCCCATGGACGTGCAGGGGCACAGGCACCTGGGGCATCCTCCGCTGCTTTTCCCACGTACATTAGCAGGGAACTAAATCAAAGTAGAGCAGCTAGGACTTGCACCAATGCCGATATGGGATGCTGGTGATGAAAACATGCTATGCCCTACTGCTGGCTACTTGATTGTTTTTGCTCAACTTTTTAAATTTATCAGTATTGTTATCTGTGATTGTATTCCCTTCATTTTGACTGTTATATAGGATTCATTATGTAATAAACTACCCTATCACCTTTGGGTAATAATACTGTTACAAATATTCTTGTGTAGTTAAGTATTTATTTATTTGAAAGGTAGAGTTAGACAGAAGGAGAGCAATCTTCAATCCACTGGTTTACTCCCCAGCTGACAACAAAGGCCAGAGCTGGGTCACACCAAGGCCAGGAACCAGGATCTTTTTCTGGGTCTCCCATGTGGCTGCAAGGGCACCAACACAGGGGCTAACATTCTCCACTTTCCCAGTTATGTAGCAGGAAAATGGATTGGAACTCAAATCAGCCCCTATATGGATGTCGGGGCTGGGGGCAGTGGCTTAAATTGCTATTCACATGGCCAGAATGAGTTATCTTATTTATCCCGTGTTAGAATCAGTTAATCTTTGAAAATCTCCCTGCATTCCTGCTTGAGAGGATGTCTAGGCTCGTCTTATGTTTTCACTGCCCCGTGCTTGAAATCGTCTACTTTTCAAGAATTCCTTAAGTCCATTTGAATGGCATACCAAGAAGGAATGGTAGATGCTCTTGTTACTGCTGGGTGTCACTACAATAGGCTCCCCCCGCCCCCAACATACAGAACTTAAACTGTTTTAAAAGGGAGAGTTTGTTGCTAGTACTCTGTTATTTCAGTTTTTGAAATGCCATCCATTTTCCTGTAAAGGCTGTTGAAAGTATAAACTAAAACTAATTAAGTTCCTATGAGAGCAATATTTATCATTAATAATTTTTATATTATTCAAGTGAAATGTATAATCATTGTAGAAATACAAATAAGGTCAAGATAGAAACCACAGGTACTTCCATCCAGTTGAGCATTTGGGAGTTGTTGCTGGCTCTCACATAGGGCTTCGGCTTGACTCCTGTTACGTGCAGCTCCTGCCTTTGGGTGTACCTGCCTGAGAACCCCTCAGTAGTCCTTCAGGCAGCACTTGCAGGGCTTCCACCGGCTGTTTGCAGACATACACAGGGACAGCAAGTCACAGTTACTGTGAATAACATGTACGGACTACGGTGTAAGGCAGAATTGATGCCATCTGATAGATCATTTTCCATTGAAGGAACATTAAAGATATTGGGTGCTCATTTGTTTCCCCTAGGACAGCAACGTTCTCGAATGCTCGCTACTCTTTTTAAGGATGAAAGGTGCCAGCAACTTGCTGCTTACGGAATTCTAGAGAAAATGTACCTGGATAGGATCATCAGAGGAAATCAACTTCAGGAGTTTGCTGCTATGCTGATGCCTCACCAGAAAGCAACCACAGCTGATGGTAATACCCAGGTCTTACAGGTGGTTCCGAACATTTAGGTACAGACTATTGGAAAGCAGGTTACATTGGAAATGTATTGGTGTCTTTATTTCTGTGTAACACTCTCTGATGAAAAAAGAAATGCTCACTGAAGTGATGTGCAGCATAAAAATAGTTCTATCAGACAACGTTTGTGAAAGAATGGATTTTTTTGGAGACTAAGGGAAAAATATATATACTATACTTATAATATCCTTTTTTCAAAATTCAAACACATTACGATTTACTAAATGTTAAGCATCAGATTATAGCTTGTAATTGTTCAACTCTATTTTAGATAGAGCAAAATTTGCCATAATCATCTGTCCTGGGTTTCTGAGTGTAAAGTGTTGCCAATAACAAAACAAGTTCTGTCAAGAAGGAAATCCAAAAGCATGGTGCTCAAAGCTGCTCAGCATCTGGTGGGGGCCTTCTAGTTACGTCACACATTGATTGAAGGCATCTCATGACCTGACGGGATTAACATGTCAGTTTCTGAGCTTACACTTAGAACAAAGCCACTCCCCTTGGTAACTCTTGACTCGGGAATGGATTAATCTGCCCACAGAGACAAAGCGGTCTTCATCCAAAGGTCCTACCTCTCAAATACTGTTACCAGAGATCTTTGAGGGATTAAGTTACAAAGATTTGAGTCCTAAGAGTCACAGCAATAGTAATAAATGCAAATCACAGCAATGCCTAGCAAAAACGGTACTCTTGTAGCCCCTCCAGCACCCCTTCTTAAAGGTTTGTCTTATTTATTTGAAAGGCATAATTACAGAGAGAGAGAGAGATCTTCAACCTATTGGTTCACTCCCCAAATGGCTGCAGCTGCCCTGCTTGGCCATTCCGAAGCCAGGAACCAAGAGCTTCATCTCGGTCCCCGTGTGGTCTGAGGGACTCTGGTGTTTGCACTGCACTGTCCTCTAGGAGCGATAACGGAGCTAGCTGGGCGGGATTAGAGTAAGGTGCTTGTGGAGTGTCCGGAAGAACAGGAACTTGATCAAGCTGCTGGAAGAAGCTCTGTGGTAACTGTGCTGCTGCTGAATGTCTGTGCTGGGAGCAGGAAGAGGGAAGGTGGGAAGGAGACAGTCCACCGAGGCAAAACCCATCTCTGAGGTCAGACCTTTCCCCTGGCAGGCCCTTGCCAAGCACTCATCTTCTAGATATGCTTTAAGATTTTGATCATGGGAATAAACATGAATATGAGATGACATACCTAGATATTTTCAGGAAAAAGGTGCATCTTGTTGCGTGTAAAACTAGTTTCAAACTTGAAACTGTTTTATTTGTACTACGAAGGTTCTAGCATCTTGGACAGAGCTGTTATTGAGCACAATTTGCTGTCTGCAAGCAAGTTATACAATAACATTACCTTTGAGGAACTCGGAGCTCTTTTGGAGATCCCTGCAGCTAAGGTATTTTCTTTCTGTAAACAAAAAAGTTATTTATTAAACATGTTTTACTTCTTAGCCCTGTGAACTCATGCTAAGGATTTTTTTTTTCTTTTTATATATGTATCAGTAAAAGGAAAGTTAAGAGACAAAATAAAGAGAAAACTGAGGATTACGTAATTGCTAGATGTTGGCAGCGATAGCAAAAATTACGTGTAAGAGCCTCAAAATAAGTACTCAGTCTTACTTTTTCCTAACTAGCAAACCTTAAACTCATTGTAGTCACACTGTATTTTTCTGATACTGAAATTTTAATTTAACATCTTCTAACAGTTCTTCTATATGTACAGATCCACTGCACCTTGAAAGAGGTAGAGCACTTTGGGGACTACAGCTTAAGTTACAGTTAAAAGATTCTTTCTTTTTAGGCTTTGAGGTATGATCGGCACAGAAATTAAATTAATATATTTTTAGTGAACATATTTTTTAACAATAAATGCTAGTCACAGTTTATTTAGAAGTAGTTTATCATTGATGCTAAAGGGCCTGGCGCAGAGGCCTATTGGCTGAAATCCTCACCTTGGATGTGCCGGGATCCCATTAAGTTGCCGGTTTCCATTCAGCTCCCTGCCTGTGGCCTGGGAAAGCAGTCGAGGTCAACCCAAAGCCTTGGGACCCTGCACTCGCGTGGGAGACCTGAAGTGCTCTGGCTCCCAGCTTCGGGTCGGCGCAATACCGGCTGTTGCAGTCACTTGGGGAGTAAATCATCGGATGGAAGATCTTTCTCTGTCTTTCCTCCTCTCTGTATATCTGACTTTCAATAAAAATAAATAAATCTTTAAAAAATATTAAAAAAGAAAAGATGGACGGTGAAGATGACTAGAACTAATGAATGACCAAGTCACATTTTCATATTTTCTTAAAAATATTACTTAAAAGAGTTCTCTGAAGTGTTTAATAATGCAGACCATGAAATGAAATACAATAGGAAAAACTAAAGGTTTTTTTAATACAGTTTTTCTTTTGGAGATATGGATCCAAAAAAAAGAATTGTTTCATTCTGAACAGAGCAGAAACTTGATAAAAGAGCTAGATTAAAAAAATTCTTTTACTGATTTTTTTAAAAGATTTATTTATTTTTATTACAAAGTCATATATACAGAGAGGAGGAAAGAGAGAGGAAGATCCTCTGATGATTCATTCCCCAAGTGAGCACAACGGCTGGTGCTGAGCTAATCTGGAGCCAGGAGCTAGGAACTTCCTTCAGGTCTCCCACACGGGTACAGGGTCCCAAGGTTCTGGGCCATCCTCGACTGCTTTCTCAGGCCACAAGCAGGGAGCTGGATGGGAAGTGGAGCTGCCAGGATTAGAACCGGCACCCACATGAGATCCCAGCGTGTTCAAGGCGAGGACCCCAGCCATCAGGCCACGCCACCCGACCCTATTTTATTGATTTGAAAAGTAGAGTTGAGGAATGTGGAGATAGAGACAGAGATCTTCCGCTCACTGGATCACTCCCCAGATGGCCACTGAATGGACGGAGCTGGGCCAGACCAAAGCTGGGAGCCAAGAACTTCATCCCCGTCTACCGTGCAGATAGAGCAGCCCAAGTTTTGGCCATCGTGCATTACTGTCCCAGGCCAGGGAGCTGGATCATTACTGGACCAACTGGGACTTGAACTAGTGCTTCACATGGGATGCTGCATTGCAGAGGGTGGTCTCACCTGTTACAACATCAGCCCCAGGGCTGGATTCTCATCCACAGCCTCACAATAAAATCAGCAAGTCCCAGTTAACTTCAAATAAGATGGATTCTTGTAATGAATGTCAAATGAAGACAATTGTAAGTTAAAGTGAATTCTCTTATCAAATGTGAATAATTGTTCTACAATACTTAAAATTTCTGAAAAACATTTTTTTTTAGGCAGAAAAAATAGCATCTCAAATGATAACAGAAGGACGCATGAATGGATTTATTGATCAGATTGATGGAATAGTTCACTTTGAAAGTAAGACGTTTTGTGTGTTTCTGTTGTAATGGTTAGTGAGTTATTATGTTTATGGTTGAAATATGAATTGATAAAGTATTTTGATGCAGTCTTAAAAATAACTGGAATACAATTTTTTTTTTCCAAAAGGAATAGTTTGAAATAATTTTTAAGTTCATTCCTCAGCTAACTTAATGCTGCATTTTCTTTGCTAAGAAAGTTTTGAAATTCAGATTGTTGCATCAGTTCATTCATTTGCTTGGCAAACATTCATTGATCCCTTATCACATACTGGGCATGTGCAATGGATGGTTTACTGCCTCCTCACAGCAGTTCGTTAAACTCATGAAGTCACGCAGGTCAGTGGTTTTCTTGACTCTCTCTTGGTCCAGTGTCATCTCAGCTCCTTATTCCCGCTACCTGCACACCCTGGACCTTGTTGTGTCTAGGACTGTCCCACTTGCAAGTTTCACTTTGAAACATCTCACTCTGGCCACCATCTTTTCCCGGTCCTTCAGCACTCTGTCTCAGTTATACCATTTCAGTGCTTTTCCTTGATCGCATTGGAGATGTGCTCTCTTGATTCTTTGACATCCTTCTTATCAGCCAACCCTTCAGTTCCTTTTGTTACGGATACCCCACAAACACTTAGCTGCCTGTTGACTTTGTTCCAGCTACTCACAGAACTTCACCTTGAGTGAACCTGTGCTCTGTTGAGTAGTGTTGGAGAAGGGAAGACACAGGCCGACTACTGCTGCGAGTCCCAGCTCCTAGCTGCTCAGCACTGTGTGCAATAGAGTTGTTGACATAGTCCTCTAATATGCTCGTTTCCTTCCTTTTGCAATGACAGTGTCATGTCAGATTTTGTTTCTGACTGTTCCTTCTGCAGAGAGTCTTATTTTCTGTTTAACAACACCAGAAAAAAAAATCGTTTATCAGTGTAAAATGTTTTCAACTTCCTCACACGAATAAGCCTCTAAATATAAGATATGTTTTTATTTCTTCTTTTTATGAGGGAGTTAATTTCCATCTCTCTCTGCAGTCCTTGAACTTGATTCTCTAATCCCTGTCTCATCACCCTCACCAAAAACATAATTTTTAAAAAAGATTTATTTTTATTGGAAAGGTAGATTTACTGAGAGAAAGAGAGACAGAGAGAAAGATCTTCCACCACTCCCCAGGTGGCTGCAAATGGCCAGAGCTGAGCCAATCCAAATCCAGGAACAAGGAATTTCTGTGTCTCCTTTGAGACTGCAGGGGCCAAGTACTTGAGCCGTCTTGCGCTGTCCACAAGCAGGGAGTTGGATTAGAAGTAGAATAGCCAGGACTTGATCCAGTGTCCATTTGGGATTCCAGCATCATAAGCAGAGGTTTAGTGTGCTACTCCACAGCACCAGTCCCTAGCCTTAATAGTTTTGTTCTGATTAGAAAACAAAAATAAAGAGAGATTTTCTTTAGAATTTATTTTTCTAAAAAAAAAATAAGTTGTATTTATTTATTTGAGAGTTATAGAGGCCAGCACGATGGTATACCAGGCTAAGGCTAATTCCATATGGGAACTACTAGTTCCAGCTGTTCACTTCTGGTCCAGCTCCCTGCTTGCAGTGTGGGAAAGCAGCAGAATGTAGCTCAGGTTCTTGGGCCCTGTGCCCAGGAGAAACCTCCCACCTTTGGATCAGCCCAGTCCTGGCCGTTGTCATCATTTGGGCTGGTGAGTCGCACATGGAGATCTCTTGTTCCCTCTCCCTTTCTTTCAAGAGAGAGAGAATGAGAGTGAGAGAGAGACTCTGGTTCACTCCCCAGATGGCTACAGTGGCTGAGGCTGGGCCAGACTAAGTCAGGAACTCCATCCATATTTCTCTTGCGGGTGGCAGGATCCCAAGTACCTAGGCCATCATCTGCTGCTTTCCCTAAGCCACTAACAACTAGTTCAGCAGTGGGACATCTGACACTCAAAGCAGTGCCCATATAGGAGACCACAGGTGTAGGCCCTGGCTCTACATTGCTATGTCACGACATTGACCCTTGCAATTTCTTTATATTAGGAGGCAAGGACTGATATTTTAATAGTGTTTTTATATATTCAGAAAATTGATGAGTTTTCCTTTTTTTTTTTCTTTGTTTACTTTGAAACATTTAGTTAGAGAGGGCAAGACAAGAGTTTCAAGAGCATTTCTTAAGAGCATTACTGGCTCACTCTGCAGATGCCTGCAATGGCTGCTCCTGTTCCCAGTTGAAGCAAGGAACTTTGCCTGCTTCTCCTGCATGGGTACTGGCCTAAGAACTTGGGCTGTCTTCTTTTTTCAAAGAAACCTCACCAGAAGTGACCCAGGACTTGATTCCTGTGTGCCAGCCGATGCAAGGTCCAGCTCTGTTACTCACATCAGCTTACACACACACTAGTAGTTGCTGTCACCTGGTCATTTCTGTCTCCAGCCTCATTTTATACATAAACCAGTGGGTGCCATGGCCCAGCCAATCCCTGCCTACCACACACTTGGCCTTCATACACATAAGCAGGGAACTCCAGTCTAGTTTGGGGCGGCCCTCATTGACCCCCAGCAGGCCCACTTCAACCCTGTTTCCTGTGCATGATGGTACAGTCCATCCTGCATCCCGTTCGGCTCTCGTATACATCAGTGATGTTGGAGCCTAGCTCAGTCTGCCCAACCCCGCTGTCCATCCCACATTCATGCCAGCGGGTGCCACTGCCTGTCCAGCCGGGTTTTCCCCAGCCCTGGTTTGCATGTTGATGGGTGGGAGCTGTAGTCCATTAAGAGAGGTGCCCACAATTTCCCTACTAGGCCCTGCATCTTGCACTTTCCAGGTGGTTGGGCAATCTTCTGTTGTTTTTCCCAGGAACTTTAGTAGGGAACTGAATGAGAAGTGGAGCAGCCAGACACAAACTGGTGTCCATGTGGGATGCCGCTGTTGCAGGAAGTAGCTTTATGTGCTACACCACAATCGTTTCCCAGTTTTTCTTCTCTAATCACATATTACTGGCATAAGGAAAAAAAAAAATAGAGGGTCCAAGATGTGTTCTGTTTTTGTTCTTTTATAATTAACTGTTAGATTTATCCTTGAGAGTCAAGTAGAGACAACCTTGAATATGTAACTGGTCTTGCCAAGTGGGTGGCAATGGCTGATGCATCAGTATTGATGCAAAGGAGACCCCTGCCATGAGGCTGTCTTTTTGTTGTGGTGGTTGAAGTTGGCTGATTAGTTCTTTCTGTTAATAATAGAAACACATATCTTGGTGTGTGTATGTTTTTAGTTTTTGTGTCACATTGTTTTTTCAGTTTTTTGAGTCCTTTTCTTAGGTTAGCTTGGGCTTGGCACGATGACCTAGTAGCTGAATCCTTGCCTTGCATCCAAGGGTGCCGCTCTGTGTCCCGGCTTCTCCACTTCCCTTCCAATAGAGGATGCAAGGCCCTCAACCCACGTGGGAGACCATGGAGGAGCTCCTGGCTCCTGGCTTCAGATCAGCTCAGCTCTGGCTGTTGCAGCTGCTTGGGAAGTAGGCCAGCAGATGGAAAATCTTTCTCTGTCTCTCCTTCTCTCTGTATGTCTTTCATGAAATGAAATGAAAAAATTAATTTAGCTTTTTTAGCTAAGGGTTTCATAATAAACTGTAATTTAAAAAAAATACAACTGCTGTATTTTGCTTTTAACTCGTATTTTCTTAGGAATACAAAGAAGCAATTTCAATTTTGTGCATTCTTTTCTTTTTTCTTCAGCCCGGGAAGCCCTGCCAACCTGGGACAAACAGATCCAGTCCCTGTGTTTCCAGGTGAATAACCTCTTGGAGAAGATCAGCCAGACAGCCCCGGAGTGGACAGCGCAGGCCATGGAGGCGCAGATGGCCCAGTGACCCCGCGGAGTGTCTGCATTGCACACTACACGTTCCTCTTCACGCAGGGCCGTTTCATTTCTCTCTCCAAAGCATTTGCATCGCGACCTTAGACATTTCAACCCCTTTTATGCTGGATTCCCTTTCCAGATGGTATTAGAACAGGATGTACAAGCATTGAAAACAACATAGTTTCCATGTATTCTGGGTCTCTGTGCATTAAAAACGGATGTTTTGAAGGTTTTTTTTTTTAATGGAGTGGGTGAAATGCCTGTGGCTAGAAAGTTTGGGCTTTGTGATAACTTTGTAGTCATGTAAAATTTAAGTGCTTTGTGCCTCTCCAAATGTGATTATTCTAATAAATCGAGAGATGAGCCAAATAAAAGTAGTACTTTTTAAAATTTATTATTTTGATAATCTTTACATTGTTGATTAGGGCACAAGGGGTCAAGGGTTACAGGAAAGTGGGTAAGATCATTGTTTCCACATTTTTTGTGTATCTGAGGTAAGGAGGGAGATAAAGGGAGAAGCCCCATCCAACCTCCCACCCATCCTAGGGTCCCTGATATGGGGCATGCTCTGAGGACATTGCTCAAGTGATTTGGATAGTTCAACAAATCTGAATTGCTTCCAATCTCACCATGCCAAGCATGATGAAATCTATTCAGAATCCACTGGTAGACATAGTCCATCTTAGACTCTGTTTGCCCAGATTTTCACTTCCAACACTTGGCTGGGGTAGATGATCAATTTGTTCTGTCCTCTGTTGTACCAGGTATCCTCTACAGGCTTCAGTGGACTGCCATATCCTCCATGTGAACCTGGATATGCCGTCCACTGCTCCGTCTGAGCCACTGAGGAGGCTCAGCTTTGACACATGGACTCCATGGTCAGACCATGGAACCTGCAACTCTCTTCATGACTGGGGTTCTGAGATCAGCAATTCAGTTGGAGGGATCCCCAAAGAAACTTTGTCTGAGGTGATCCTAGACCTGATTCTTGTGTGTGCATGCCAGTACAGGGTCCAGCACAGTCCGTCTCCCCAATCAACTTATGCACATGCTGGTGGTTGCAATTGCTGGGTCAGTTCTGTTTCCAGCTCTGTCTTCCACACGAACCAATGGGTATTGCAGTCAGGCCTGATTCTGCCCACCTCACACTTGGCCCTCACACAAACCAGTGGGAGCTGCAGCCTAGTTGGGGCAACTCCCAATTACCCCCACCAGGCCTGCCCCTTACCATGGTTCCCGTGCTTGCCAGTATGGGCAGCAGACTTGTCCAGTCTGTCCCACATCCCATTTAACTCTTATACATGTCAATGGGCATTGAAGCCTAGTTCAACCCGATCAGCCCTACTTTCCAGCCCACACACATGCTTGCTGGTGCAGTTCTGTGTAGCCACCCCTGCCGCAGTCCTAATTTTCATGTTCACCAATGGGAGTGGTAACCTTGGTAACCCAAGAGGGAGGTGTTCACTATTTTCCTACTGGGACATTCCCAGATCATGCACTCTAGGTGGTTCTGCAGTTTAATTTGACAGAATTAGCCCCCAGTGCCAGCCTCTGTCAGCTGATGCTACGGGAAAGTCCAACCAATCCTCACCCACTCTGATTTATGCTTGTACCAGTAGGAACAATCAACCTAGCCTGGCTTTTCCTTTATCTAGCTCACATGAGGCTCACAGGTGTTGTAGCCCTGCCTGGTCTGGTCTGTCCCCATTCCAGCTACCACTCTCCAGTGGGAGTGGTGATCCAGCAGGGCAGCCCTCCACCTTCCCTCTAACTACTTTGCCTTCTCCCCGCCTGGTTCTCATGTGGCTGGTTTGGTGCTGAGGCCTAGTCTGGCATGGCTCACCTTGCCCAGCATGGCCTCTCCCCCACCCCTCCAATTCCAGCTGATGCTGGTGGGGGTTACAGTCTAGCCCAGCCCAGCAGGTCCCCCGTCCCAGCCATATTGTGTACTAGTATGTGTTGCAACCAAACCTGGCCTCCCACACTCTGTTCTGATGTTCCTATTTGCCAGTGGGTGATGTGAACTGGTTCAACGTGGTCTGCCCCCGGTCTATGCCAAATGTGGGTATCTTTCCCTGGTCTGGTCTGGGCTGCTCACTGTCTTGGTTCTTGCGCTCACTTGCAGGGATTGTGTCTTGACAGAGAAGTTTACCAAGCTCCTCCATCAGAACCTCTCCCAGTGTCAGATCTTGTGCATACCGGTGGGTCCTTGGGCCAGCTCTACTTAGTCCACCTCCTGTCCTGGCAGTAACAGTGGCCTTTCCTCATTGGCCTTCAATCCATTCCAGTTTTTTTTTTTTTAAATTTTAATCCATTCCAGTTCTTACTGTTGGATGTTTCAGCCCAGCTAAGGCTTGTCCATACCTAGACACAGCTCACACATGGTTCTGTAGGGGCAGAGACTTAGACTAATCCACCCTACACCTACCTTGGTTTTCACAAGCACCAGTTGGTGCTGGAGTCTAGCCTGGCTTGGTACACCCAGCCCCAGTCCACACGTGCACCAAGGGAGACTATGTCCAGACTATGTCCAGACCCATGTCCAGACCAGAATGCAGCCCCCACTCTGGCCCCTGCACTCACCAGTGGGAACCCCAACCCAGCCAAGGTGTCCTTTTAGCTCCCCAACCAGGCCTGTTCCCAGCCATAGATCACGCTCATGCCAGTGGTTGCTCTGACCCAGCTTGGCATAGCTCCTCATCTGTCTTGGCCATTGGATTTTGTGGTCTAGCATCCCTGGCTCATCCAGACCAGTAGGTGTAAGAGCCCAGCTCGGCATTGCCTGTGCTCCAGCCTGATTTCTGTTTTTGCTGGTGAGCTAAGGTTTGTTCGGCCCTGCCCGGTTTGCCCCCTTCCTTAACCAGCGCACACATTAGCCAGCCATTGGAACTACTCTGCCTAGCTTGCCCGATCGATCCCCAGACCTGGACCATGTGATCATCAGTGAGAGTTGTGACTCACTAGGGTGTCGCTGTCCCACAGCGATGGACTTGGTGCACGGAGTGATGGTCAAAGCCGAAGTTTATTAGGGGCATTAGACTTTATACACTGAGAGTCCATACTGTTTCCCTACTCTTGATTGGAATTCCTTTTGTTTTGTATATTCCACCAGGTGTTCTCATTTACATGCTGTTTATACCAAAGGTAGCCATTTGGTTGTTGTCATGCAAATACTGTCCAATGAACTGCAAACCTGTGCTCGCTGACCTTCCAGGCTCACAATGTCCTCCTACACTAGGGGAGTTTCCCAAGTTCCCCTGCTTGACCCTACTTGACCCACTGCCAGACCCAGATCTCACACATGCAGTGCCCTTCCATTTTGGCCTTCTATGAACTGGTGAGTGTTGCAGCCTGGCTCACTTCACACCCTGTTTTAGGAGGCACATTTGGGTGCTGCTGCGTTGACCTGCCCAGACTGTTGTTGGTTCGTTTACCCGTGAGTGATGGCAGGTTTCATGGTCACACCTAGCTCAGCCCATCACCACCCCAACTCTTGAGGTAACCAGCGGGACTTGTATTTCCAAAGGGTTGAGCCCACTTATCGCCCTCAGAATATACCCACAGACCTGGTTATCTTACATGCTGGTTAGTGTCGTGACCCTGCCTTACAGGCTCCCAGCCATACCTTTCATGTGGCAGTCAGAGATGCTCTATGCTAAGATCCCATCTCAGGACTCCCACGTAAGCTGGTGAATCAGTCTGGCCCAAATAGATCTTATGGACTCTCTCCTCCAAACCACCAGGTCTCAGTCCACTCGCTTGCCAGCAAGTTCCAGGACTCTGTCACTGGGAGTCACGCAGGGTTCATCCCTCACCTACACTCACACTGGCCTTATACAAGGATGTCCCTAGCCAACAATTACATACCCTAGAAACCCTAGAGCTCACCGCTCGGCAGCCAGCAGGCAGGGCCTGGTACCACTTGGCATGCTGGCCACCCAAAACCCAGGACTTGTTCACTGCATGGCAGCAGTGACCATGGCCTTAGTCCCCAGCATTGGGTCTGGCCTGGCTCAGACAACCTATCCCCTGCAGCCACCACATTGCAGAGGGCTCCTTTCGCCCCAGCCCCACGACTGAACGCTACTCAGACTCCAGTACTTCGTTTTAAATTAATGTATTGATACTTTCTCCTTCCATTCTGCAGGCCTTGATTTACACCAAGGGCTAGAATTCTGAAGGTAAGTCATCATGCCTGTTCTCTAGGCATTCAGATTCCCAGAACCAAGTAACCCTAAGTTTAGTTCTTCAAGTTGCACCAAGTACAGAAGTCCACAAGGAGGCGCTCATATCCAGCAAAATTATCTTTCAATGCTACTCAATACTGTTTTTGCTATGTCTCAGGGGGTTTGATATTTTTGTTTTTATTTTCATTCATTCAAGAAAAAAGTTTTTATTTTTCTTATTAATTTCCTCACTGACTCACAGGTTGCACAATAACATCATTTGCTTCAGGATGGTCTTTGATTTTCTTTCAATGGCATGTTGAGTTAGGTTATCAAACCTACTAGTTTGCATGAGTCAGGCTTGGGAGCTGACTGGGCAGGGTCAGGCTGCAGCACTCACCAGCAAAGGTTAGGACTGGGGTTGGGGAAGGGGGCAGGTCAGGCCAGGTCCCAGCATCCAGTGGCAAAGGTCAAGATGGGGGATGGGCTATGCTGAGCTGAGTCAGAGCAACCACTGGCATGCTCAAGATCTGGGGTTGGGAATGGGTCTGGTTGGGGAGCGAAGGGGACACCCTGGCTAGGTTGTGGTTTCCACTGGTGAGCATGAGAGCCAGAATGGGGGCGATGGTCTGGGTTGGACATGGCTGCGGTGTCCTCAGTACGAGTCTGGACTGGGTCTGGAGGGTGCCAGATTGGGCTAGGCTCCAGCACCCACTGGTGCTCGTGAAAGTCAGAATGGGTACAGAATGGGCTTGGCAAGTTCTTGGCTCCTACTGAGCCATGTGAGAGCTGCATCAGGGCATGGGCTAGGCAGGGCTGGGTTGTAACACTCAACAGTAAGAAACAGATTGGCTGTGGGCCAGTTGGGCAAGGCCTCTGTTATTGCCATGACAGGAGGTGGACTAAGTCAGCCTGTGCCAATGACCCACTGGTGTGCTTAAGATCTGCCACTGGGAGGAGACCTGACAGTGGAGCTTGGGGAACTCCTTTGTTAGGGTATAGTCCCTGCAGGTGAGTGAAAGAACCAAAGCAAGGAATAGCCCAGCCCAGGCCAGGACACAGTATTTGGGGCTCAGGTCTGGGGGTGGGCCAGGCTGGGCCAGTTCACAATACCCACTTGCAGATCTGAGAACCAGGATGGGGTGCAGGACAGGCTGAAGCACCAGCCAGTTCACATTAGGGATGGGACTGGGGCTGACTGTG